CATATGGGTTCCTGTGCTGATTTCTCGATATTGCCTGTGTTTTAACTATATAGGAATAATGGATAATGGCTAGCAGTGGAATCCAGGACTCGCGTTTCGTCTCATTTGAGACTTGTCAGCTGCATGTATCTGTTTCAACGAAGAGATAATACAAGCAGTAACATCAGAGTGTAACGGTGACTATGTATTAGGACTGACAGCAGAAAGCTTCAGTTGGTCCTCAAATATAGTTTCCTCAACACATCTTTTTGCCTAATAAATATCACGTACATATCTTTATATTATGCTTACAATGAAAAGAATAAAATCCCCTTGATTCTATACTTTGTTGAATTCTTAAGTGGTGGGGATTCATTTTAAGTTAGATACAGCGGAGCAGTTCAATACTTCTATAACAAATATGCTTTTCAATGATTATCAAATCACATGATGAACCCTAATATACCAATCTAGATTTTAATGAGCATTGAAAATCAAGTATCTGTTATTGACTGGTGATAAAATCAGTTGTGTCCGGGGAATAATTGACTTGTAGCGTCACACACTTCCCCAAAATCAATAGCACAGGGTTTGACGACTTTCGACATTGATGCTGACCCTGATAGTTTAACTGGACTCGCTAAGCTGAAGGCACCCGGTCAAGCATCCTCGCCATTTGGCACGCTGTCGTGTTACGTTGCATTGCTCGTATTCGACTCTCTAGCCAGTTAGTTGGAACGCATCGGTATTTTGGCATAACCATCCAAATATACTATTCCATCCGACTACGCTATCGTGTTCTTCCTTGGTCTCGTATTCGTGGGTATATAACAAGTTCGAATAATTAGTGATTGGTCTTTGCGTCTGTCAAGTTCGCACCAGGACAAATCCTAAATTGGTGAGCCCGACGTGATCACATATCCCGACCAATAACAAGTATTGAATTGGTGAGCCTGTTCCATTTTATATTTGTTTATTGTTTTCATTTCGATAACATTTATATATCCATTTACTACACTTTCTCATGTCCGACCACACTCCCAAGCTTATTCGTATTAAGCCGACTACGAACACGATCCAACTCGTGCCATATTGGCCAGACAATGCAGAAACATGGTTTCTGTATGCCGAGGCAGATTTTCGAGAACAGGGTGTCTCAGATCCTCAATCTCGATTTCTTGCTGTCATACGTTCACTACCGCGAGAATTAAACAGGTATGTTACAGCAAACATGTTTAATCCTGAAGTAAGTGACCCTTATGCACTTCTAAAGGCCGCACTCTTGAAGAAAAGCGATCTCACAGATCGCCAACGTCTAGACGAATTGCTTCGTAACATCGAGCTAGGCAGCCACTCAGCTACTGAAGTCCTCGCACGCATGCGAGAAGTAATCGGTGCACGAACATTTGACGATGGTTTCTTCCGAGAACTATTTCTCTCGAAACTACCACAACCGGTGCAAACCGTGTTGGTGACACTGCAGTCAGTCCCACTCGACGACCTGGCAGCCTCAGCAGATAAAATACTGGAGATATCCAGCAGACCCGTCTCCAACGTATATTCTATCTGCGACAAAACAGAGCGCCAGGATTCGGAGGTGACCAAGTTGTGCAACTCTGTGAAACGGTTGCTACGATCTCGAAGTCCTAGATCACGTAGCACTTCACGGAAACGCACCTTGGCGCATCGCAGCAAGTCGCGTGGTAGCCCTAAAACGAAACCCAACAGGGTGGAAAACCCTGAATGGTGCTGGTTTCATAACACTTACGGGGATGAAGCCAGAAAATGTCGTAAACCATGCCGTTTTAAGAAGGACCCAAACTCGGGAAACGGTCACGCCGGCACGTGCTCACGGCAACCGTAGCCGGCGGAAAAAGCCGTTTGCTCTACGTCACCGACGTTAAAACGAAAGTCCGCTACCTCGTCGACACCGGCGCAGAAGTTAGCATTCTTCCAGCAACGACAAAGGAGCGTCATCTTGACCCATCCTTCAATCTTCAAGCAGCCAACGGCAAGGCAATCGCGACATTCGGGAGACGGTATGCCTACCTCAACTTAGGTTTACGCAAACCTATCCACTGGATCTTCCTCCTGGCAGACGTCTCTATGCCCATCATTGGCATAGATTTGCTAAACCATTACGATCTACTCGTAGATGCTCGCCGTCGACGACTGATAGATAACAGCACAAAGTTATCTATTGGCGGCACCACCTATGTAGGTCCGAGTTTAGCCATCGTTAGGACTAAACAATCAGACGACGCGTCCTACCAGGCAGTTCTGGAGAAATATCCAGAGTTACAGCAACCGAAGCACACTCTTCCGTGCATAACCAGCAATGTTATGCATCACGTCACAACCACAGGTCCACCTGTGGCATCCAAAGCGCGCCGTCTAGCCCCCGATAAGCTCCAAACGGCGAAAAATGAATTCGACCACATGCTCGACCTGGGCATTATCAGACCGTCAAACAATCCTTGGGCATCGCCATTGCACATGGTTCCCAAAAAGGATAGCAACGACTGGCGTCCAACCGGTGATTACCGAAGGCTCAACGCCAAAACAACTCCGGACTGCTACCCGATACATCAATACAAACCCTCGTACACTTTGCCTTTTTATATCAATTTTTATTACCATGTAATGAAAATTTAAAAAAAAACGGCGAAGATAAGCGTAAATTTTTATTTTTCGATATGTTTATATATAAATAATTTTCATTTTTACGCAACGTTTTCGTGGTATTAAAGACTTTTATTTATATTCCAGGTGCAACGAGCACTGGACGGAACGTCGAAAGGAACAGATGACCGCGACCGACGTACAATTTCATTTATTGTATTTTATTTATTTAATCGCCACGACACCCTAGAATAAGGTTCAGACAACCAGGGGCCACCTCACGCAGTCAGCCCATCGGAAGAGTTTTACCAGTGGAGAAACCACTGGGTTTTTACTTCCGGCTGGTATCGTCTTAGGGTCCTCACGAACCCACTAGAGGGGGAGTGATCTGTAGCGTCATACACTTCCCCAAAATCAATAGCCTAGGGTTTGACGACTTTCGACATTGATGCTGACCTTGATAGTTTAACTGGACTCGCTAAGCTGAAGGCACCCGGTCAAGCATCCTCGCCATTTGGCACGCTGTCGTGTTACGTTGCATTGCTCGTATTCGACTCTCTAGCCAGTTAGTTGGAACGCATCGGTATTTTGGCATAACCATCCAAATATACTATTCCATCCGACTACGCTATCGTGTTCTTCCTTGGTCTCGTATTCGTGGGTATATAACAAGTCCGAATAATCAGTGCTTGGTCTTAGTGTCTGTCAAGTTCGCACCAGGACAAATCCTAAAGACTCAATCCTGCATCAACTGTCCAAATGTTTACCTTTTAGGAATTGTCTTTAAGTGAATTTGACAGACGTTGAGTCTCAGTGGAAACAACATCACTCAATGGATTACAAATAGATTCAGCCAATGAATAGCAAATAGGACGAAATATGGGTTATGGATTCCACTGCTAGTCTCTGAGATGAATAAAATATCGTGAATATGCAACAGTACTGAGGTATTCGAATAGGATCTCATTTGCAGACAGTAGTCGAGCAATCCGACCTTGTATAGGAGCGGGAAATTACCAGGAGAAAAAAATGATATCCATTGCATAAGTGGTGGTTGTCATGCCCTTGTGGTTTAAAGAATAACACTGGTGTCTGAAAGTGATGGTTACTGGGTTCCAGTCGCAGTGGGAGTTCAGGTAAATCTGTCTGACAAGTCCAAAGTAGGAAGAAACGCACACCCTAGATTCCACTAATAGTCTCAAAGATGAATACAGATGGTGATTGATACATACATACATATAATAAGATTGAAAATATAGTCAATATATTTCATATCAAGTCGACTGCAAGATGATTGTTGTGAAAATACAAAGCGGTTTCGTCTCATATTCTTTACATTTTGAACGTCTTATTTTAACATATAGGAGGGGAAATATGGCTAGAAATGGTAGAAAGTTACAAGGAGAGAAGAGAAGGGGTAGAACAATAACAAAATGTGGTATAATGATAATGAACAAGCAGAAAGTGTGTAGATGCATCTACAACACTCAACCATAGCACTTAGCGTCTACAACCACCGATTTCATTTGTCACCTGGACTCCAACCAAAATGTCTAGATTTTCCTATATGACTCAGACCAACAGTCAGAGACTTTACAGTCTGATGATATGTTCTATTCTAATGACCTATAACATTTTTCCAACCTAAATCTACTTGGACGAATATTCTGTGACAGGGAAAATGATGGTTGACTAGGCGTCTGTACAACATATCCCAGCTATGTGAGTCATTGAGGACCGAAAAGCTTATCAACAGACTTACGTCTTTTACCTAGAACTCCATACCTGATTTCTGCATGAATAATGTGATATTTCGATGACACAGGAACTACTAGGAAAGCTAAGGTTGTAAAACATCTGAATTCTGCTCATTTCCTTCAGTTTTAATGGCCACTTCATGCAGCTATGAAGTGGAACAGACCGAGTTCTTATGAAGTCACTACTTCATATGAGCCAAAAATTGCCAATAAAGTCAAGCAGAACATAATGACATAATAATACTGTTTCACTGAGTGATACTTGTTAAAAGAAAAACTACAATAAGGTGATACCGTACCATAGTACTCGAATTCTTCTTTTGTGTTTATCATATAGCTTACAAACTTACTTTTTTGAAAGTTTCCTAATTGTATTTTAATTTGTGTTTTACAGGTCTAATTATTATTTCTGAATAATTTAGTTTGTTTTTTTCTTCAAGAACTTATTGATGACGTAAAAACTATGCAATAATCGTATTAAGCAATAATTGTCCTACATCTAACCAATCAGAATAGCACAGATATTGACCAATCAAAATAATTGTTTGACTATGTGGTTTCTATTAGCAACAACTATATACTTTTACTTCACATTTAAACGAATTCCACTTAGTTATAATTCATCTATTTGAAAAGAAATAAATGAGTAATCAGGGAGATAAAACATTATCATCATATCGTTATCCAATATCACGCCCACCAAATTTTCCATTCATATCAGATGTGCACTGCAGATTAGCGCATAGGCCAATCATAACTGGTGGTAATGGTTTATATAGTCCATATGAGAATTATGTTAAATTCGGCAAACGCAAAGAAGTCGGTGAAATAACTTATAGAATACCACTGGAGAGAAACTTAAAACTGTTGCATCCATGTACACGTACAAACTGGAGTTTTAAGCCCGATAAACCAGAGTTTCGTTATACATTACCAAACTTTCATAGATATCGTCTACAAAAGCTTATTAAACAACCTGGCGAAATCTCTGATGTCTATTCACAAAACTACTGTGAAACATGTTGTGCTAAACATCAAGGTGGTACTTATGGATGTAACAGAAATTCACTTTATGCAACACATGGTACTTTGCCACAAACATATTTTTCAGTTGGATGTCGTGAAGAACAAGAGTTATGCAAAGATCATTATGGATATCTTCATCAAAGGCTTGATTCACATTCAACAGGAAACTTTTGGTTATCTAAATATGCATAGAATAATGAATATATTAAAAAAATTCTTTCTGATAATGCCAAAATAAGGTGATCGTTAAAAAAGTGAATTTTCCGCCATTAGACCGATATGACCTTGAACCTAATGTTAATCGATTTTCTGATTTTAAAGCTTTAAAACGAATTGTCTAGGTCACATTCACGTGTTATAATAAGTTGATACATTTCATGATATCTTATATCTGGTAGAAGTATAAATTATACCGTAAATTCATATTTGTTTTACTGATAATACAATTTGTATGCAGCGGTTTAACTGATGTTTTGTACAGTCCATCGTTCAAGTCATTCCAACATTTTTTACTGTAGAAAGATCTCTGATGGCAATGATGATTACATTTCGAATTTATCTTCTTTTACTAAGTTAGCTTGTTTGACTGAGTAACTCCATCCAACTTGGGATTAAATGTCCACTTTATACTATCAAATATTTTTCATTTTTGGAATGTTTAATACTTTGGTTCTAAAAGAGTCATAGATAGCTCATAGTGCTGAGGAACTCGTTATGATGCCATATTTTCTGATGTTATTACCTATTAACAACTTTGATTTTGAGTGCTGCAAGAACTGAGTATCTAATAACTGTAGTATTCTTGGGGTCGCATATCTCCAGTTTTCTGCATTTGGTAATGGAATGATGATTTTAGTTTCATCATTTTTGAGAAACCTACTTCAGCTGACTTAGTGGTACTCAGTTACTTCAGAATATATATCAGGTACACAGTAGTGAATGAGACACCTGCTCAAAATGACACCGCTTGTAGATGAGATTTATTGTTTTTTCTGCAAAGAAATAACATATAGACCCTTTTTATGTGTTAGCGGTAGCTTTCACTATGATAGAGAAAAAACTGAACTCAGCATCTACGTTCACATTTGTGAAGTAGGCAATGAACTACACCTAATGTATGGGGGTTAATGTTTCTAAGTAACTGCTCAGATTTTGATACATGGTGTATGCTTCAAACGTATGACCCATTGATTGGAAAACAAGTACCTAAACCAATGAGCCATAGCTCGACTGGCAGTGAAACTAGACAGAAGTTTCGGATTAGCATGATGTTCTTCAGTAGCAAGTGTGAATACTTTAGTATATGATATCCTACAGATTCCTTCTGATACACATGAAAATATTGTAATTTTTAAAGTTAATAAGCACTTAAAAATTTATTGACTTATGCACGATAAAAAATTGAAAGCACCGGGTAATTTTATCGTCCTCGTTCGAGACCTCTCTTAAGGAAGTCTTAGGTGGCAGTTTTCTCCTTACCAGCACTCCCCAGCAAGATATATGAACAACCTTAAAGGAATTATAGCTATCTATTTGTCTCTCAGTCGATATGCTGAATGGAACTACTAAGAGCCTTCAAACGGAAACCAACCCAATATGAATCGATTTTAAAATGACTGGTACATTAGCTCTTGAGAATCTGATCAAATTGCGTTTATGACTAATCCATTCATGATCAATTAGATAGTACAATATGTAAATAATTAATGGTAACCAATATCAATTTATTTGATCCTAAGTTTCCGTCTAGTATAGTTGATTTTGTTTGAGAAATTCCAGCAGGTTAAACAACTCATCATAATGAATTGTATTTTGATATGAGACAGTAAACAACAGTTTATTGGTAATTGTAGGTGAAGTTTTCGGGTTTGTTAGTCCTCATCAGAAAGATGTATTCATCAGTAAATGGTAATATTTAAACTCATAACAATAAGATGATATATGACTTATGCAGATCGGTTATACATGTAGTGATTCCATGAGGTATATTGTCATAACATTGTAGGCTAAAAATATTCATCTAAAGTGACAGTTGTGAACCACATAAATATAGTGTGAAAATATAAAAAACAAAGTAATATCTTATTGGCTACAAACAATTTTTCACTTCCTCATGCCTTGGTTTTGACTTCATTTGAATCAATTTGATTACCAAGTACACTACTTGTTTGATTGCAGTAATCTCAGGAGAATATTTCAAATTATTATGTAACTCAGATCAGTGCTAGAAGATGATTACTCATTAAGACTGTAAAATGTAATTCACATCAGAGATCATGAATATATTGGTGAAGCGATGAAAGTTAAATTTATGGCTGATGTTCTGTCAGATGACTTTAGAAAATTAGAATGCAAAGTGACACCTAGTCTGGTAAAACTCCTGAATATCAATGTTATCAACAAGGAAGAATTTGCTTCCCTCAAACCAATGGGGTCTGAGCTACCTAATCTGTATGGATTGCCTAAAATTCATAAAACAGATAATCCTTTACGTCCTATACTCTCCATTTTCCATTTACCTACACATAAAGTGGCGAAATGGTTAGTAAAAACTCTAATTCCTATTCGAAATGAATTATGTTTTAAGTTTTCTTCAAAAGATACTTTTGAACCTGTTGATTATGTCAGTGATATTAATATCAAAGATAAGAGATTGTATCCATTTGATGTCAACTCCTTATTTACCAATGTACCCCTAATTAAAACCATTGACATTCTTTGTGGCCATGTATCTTCCAGCAATTCTTCTTTCCCTGTCGCTTCAACGTGTTTTACAGAGCTGTTATTATTGTGTACTGATAAAGTTCATTTCACATTTGAAGGTGAACATTTTCGACAAATAGATAGTGTGGCTATGGGAAGTCCCTTAGGACCATTTGCTATCTGATATTTACATGTCACACATTGAAGGCTTGATCGGGGATCTCATCAATAAAGTTACTCTCTATAAGACATATATTGATGACATAATCGTGATATGTGATAAGCATGAAGATGCCACATGTTTGTTAGAAAGACTTAACATCGTTCAAAACAATATAAGCCTAACATGTGAAGAAGAGAAAGAAAACCGCCTGCCATTCTTGGGTATACTCCTAAGTCGTAGAAATGATGGTTCAATTAAACGGTTGATCTACAGGAAACCTACTTAGACAGGTTAGTATTTACGTTTCCATAGCTTTTGTCCAACCCAATACAAGCGACGTTTGGTAACTTGCCTATTTAAAAGGATCCAGCGTATTTGTATGGAAGACTCAATGGATGATGGTATCAAAATACTAACGGAAACATTAGTGGGAAATAGATATCCATTGAAGTTCATAAACCGCTGCGAAAATCATCCAGGATTCCAACTTAATCTATACTCTGTTTCGAAGAAATGCGTTTACATCACGTTACCATACAGAGGAGAATCTAATAGCATAATATTAAGACGAAGGTTAAGGTCTTCTGTTAGCAAAACGTACTATGCAGCTAAGCTTATCGTAGTTGAGATGACCAAATACTTGTTGCAACCTAGACCTCAACGCTGTATAAACGATTGTGTCACATCCCATTGCGTTTATAAATTTACATGTGTATGTGGAAAAACATACATAGGGAGAACGAATCGTGATATGAACCTGAGGGTAAGGGAACATGTTCCAAAGTGGCTATGAAAGCAGCTAGATTCACAAACATTGATAAGCGCAGATGGCAGACAACCATCATCATCCATTGCGAAACATATCATTGATAACAGTCACAGAATTGATATCAAAACAGCCTTTACAATTTTGTACAGAAACTGTCAGGGGCGTATACTTAAGTTTGTTGAGGCGCTAGCCATAAATAAATTTAACCCCCCATTGTGTGTACAAAAACAGTTTGTCCTTACATTAAGCCTACCTTGGTAATGCTTATTTTATCGTATTACCAAGATTGTCTTCAAATCTTATCTTTTTTTTCCCTCTCATTATCTTTTTTTATTATTGAATTCCTTTATGTCATATTTATCCTTTCATCATTTCCAGTTTTCATGTAAAATGACCCAACAAGTAAATGTGTGATCAGATTGTTCGAAATGATGTATAGCGCTAATACATCATATTTTTCAGATAATCTACGTCTTCTAATTACATTATCCAAAATATAGAGTTGAATAATAACCATTCGACATTGAACAATTTATACAATTGAAAGGAAATCTTAATTATCAAAATAAAGTTTTTCATATTTTGCCACCATATATAAGCTGCTTCTTTAGAGAATTATTGGATGTTTAAATTGTAAACAGTGACAAATCACATTGTATTGTTCACATATAATGGTAATGCGGTAATAAGTGTCATTTTTTTTATCAATTATCACTTCTATGAGTTTAATGGTGAAGATGTGAATATGTACAAAAATTAGTATGAATGAGCATTTAAAACAAACTAAATAAAATGTCTCATTCATGCTACTTTTCGCACATATTCAAATCTTCACCTTGAACTTCCAAGTTAATCACCAGAATTTACAATACCTAAAGTTATATATGATAACTTGACAAGTGTTCTTCTGTATGAATGATTCTTCGTTGTCTGAACTGCAGGATAAAGGAAAACTATACAGACAATCTAATGGTATCGCTATGGGTTCACGTGTTTCATCCATAGTAAGCAACTAATTTATGAATAAATTTGAAGGGAGTGTCTTCATTCATTTATTAATGCCAAAAAAATTTGACTGAGATACGCTGATGGCTTATTCTCAATTTTAAAACGTGACTTTTGCTTCGCATTCTAAGATCAATTGAACTTTAGATCACCTAGAATGAAGTTCAGCTCAGAAAAAGAAACAGATAAATGAGGGTTACCTTTCCTTGATTATCTTGTTAAGTGGAAAAAAAATGAACATTTAGATATAACCATTTTCAAGAAAGTAACGGATTTCAATTCATCACATCCAATTAATGCGAAGGTTTCTGTTGCATTCAGTTTTCTAAGGAGAGCACACAATCTAATAGCGGATGAGAATGAAAGAGTTAAGAATTCGAAATATGTGAACAAGATACTTAAAATGAATAATTATCCGGTAAAATTCATTAACAAAATAGAAAATAACATTAAATTAGGTCGTAAAACTATTCCTAAACAATAGTTATCCCTTACAGATCGCATAGATCGGATGAATTTGCGTTGTAGAACTCGAGGATAAAGTCAATTTTT